ACCTCAAAGTCTATCTATCTTATTATACCCAATTATGCATGTTTTTCACAGGAGTTCTCATGACACATTGTTTATTGCCATAGGGATAAAGCGTCCTAGTTATATTTAGTATTTTGGCAAAGGATTGGAGCAGTCACCAGAGCCTCAGGTCCCATGTCTCTGTTGCGTTTACGTGACGTGGCAGAAAATCTCCCACAAGCGGGTAAATCACATATTTGTGTCACTACACAGGGTTTAATCCTCATTGATGAAACAGAACAAGTGTCGGGTATTGGTGTGTCACAAGACTTTTGAAACACAATTCAAATCTGTTGGCATACAGTGTATTTTTGCTACACCGCTTGGGGCGTTGCTGGATCTCTATACAGAGAAGACTGCTTTGAAGTATGTACAACAAATAGCTTTCTTCCAGAACAGAAATGTGTGTTCTTGGTGTGTGGAACAGGTCCGGACAAAAACAAAAAAGAGTGCTTTTGAGGTGCTTCAAACTTGAAACTGACCTGGTAGACTCAGATTTGTAGATATCAATGATATTCTCCACTAGCAGGTTCCTCTGAAGGCCATATACTCCGTGCCGGTCCAATAACACCTCATGCCGACAAGATGGGCAGCGGAAACGTCCCCCTGTAGACAAAGTGCCCCGGTTTTGCCAAAGAGGGTTGGAGGCCTGAACCAATGAAGGATAAATGTTGAATAAACATTAGTTAATCAACATGATTTAATGTATAGCATTTCACAGAAAAAAAAATCTCCTAGGACTGTTTCATCCACCTGCATTTTTATGTAATAAAGAAAGTAGGACTTAAGAAAAGAGCAGACCTGCTGTAAAAGGCAATACTTGTAGCCAATTAATAGGTGAATGTATGGATACCTTTGCCCAGCAAAATGTAATTTGTCTGTCAGTTATCTTTGGGTAACTGTTAAAAGTAAACAATGAGAATTATTATGGATGGATAGCAGCACTCAATCATGTTAAAGTCTGGCCCAAAGGCTCCCACTCCACTCAGAGAGAATACTAATGGCTCCACTGAAAGCTGAACCTCTTTCTGAGGATGAGATGACTAGACTAATACCTCAGAGGAGCAAGGTAAAAAAGATTTGGCACAAAGAAGAAAGGCTAAATGGATCATTTATCTCTATTAAACAGTTGCTGTGGGCCTCTGAGGTCTTGTTTCATTCTCACAATTCAAAATTCAACTCATTAAAGGTCTTTTAAAGTAAATTAGGTTGAAGAATACTGTATAGCTTCTAAAAATAGCTTCAGTAAGTTAAGTGCAAAAAAAAGCCCAAATTTACAACAGCTCACACCAACTATTATCAACCTCTGTTCCATTGTAGCGTCATACGACATTAGTTCCAGTTAGGTCCTTGGATTTGATTGGCTGTGTGGCGTTTCATGCCACCGGACACATTTGACTGTTTGTATCACTC